CTTGGCTCACCACCGCTTATTTGATCAGAAAGGAACAAAAGCAATTCAGGTTTATGAAAAAGTACCAAATGCCCTTTGGGTGGCCTGGTGATCCCCCCGTTCCGTGTTCAGCGGCTGCCAGAGCTCAAGGAGCATTTGACGCTGCTTGGGTGGGATTTTGGAGGTGTCCTGTGCAGGGCCAGGACTCGGGCTTTGGTAACCCTTGTGGGTCCCTTCCAACTCGGGATATTCTGTGGAAGAGACCGAGACAGCTGTTTGCTGTGACATGTCACACGTGTCTCCAGCCCTTCCCGGCGCTCTGCGCAGCAGGCACGGCGTAATTCCACGACCTGGCGGTCGCTTCCCGCGGAATGAATCGTGGGGTGACACCCCGGGGCTGTCCCGCGGCGGGGCGGGGTTGGGTTGGGTTGGGCTGGGTGTGCGCGGTGCCTCCCGCGGGTCCCATCCCAGGCGGGCGCAGCTGCCCCGCGGCCGCTGTGACGGTCGCGACCCGGCGCACGCGCGGTGTGCGTGTGGCCCCCCTCCCGGCCCCCCCGCGCGTGGCCGGGGCCACCGTGACGTCACGAGGCGCCCGGGGTGTGTGTGTCCCCCCCTTCACCTCCCCGCGCGCGGCCGGAGCTGCTGTGACGTCACGAGGTACCCGGTGTGTCCGTGTGTCCGTCCGCGTCCCCGTTCCCGCTCCCCTCCCTCCCCGCGCGCGGCGGGGGCCCCTGCAACGTCACGGCCCCTTGCCCGCGAGCGCACTCGCACGCGCTTCCCGCCGCGCGCCCTCCCTCGCGCTCGAGCGAGGCGTGACGTCACAGGCGGCCACGGAGGAGCGGCGCGCGGGGCGGGGGGGTCGCGCGCAGGTGCATCCGCTTCCCTCAGGGCGCCTCCCGCTGCCGTCCCGGGGCAGCGCCCGGGGAAAGGTTGGTGTTCGCGCCCGGGGGACAGAGTGCAGTTCTTCCCCGTGCTCCGGCCGTCAGTGTGAGTCTCCCTTGGGTGTCACGCCGTCCCCGACGGCAGAGAGTCGCGGGCCAGGGTCGCTAGGGGGAGGCACGGCACCGGCGGACAGGCTGAGGCGCTGAGGCGGGGGGGAGCGGGAGAGGAGGGAGCGCCGCGCCCCCCGCCCCGGTTTTGCTTTGCCTTTTGCCGCTAGCTTTCCTTGGCGGGCGTGAGGTAGCGAGGAGGATACGTATTTATTTATTTATTTAGTTACTTACTAATTTATTTAAATATTTGTTTGTTTGCTTCCCTAAAGGGTGAGGGGAGGGGAGAGGGAAGACCGGAGGAGGGCGCGGAGGCAACGCCGTCACCAGAGGAGGCGGTGGCGGGGAAGAGGAGGAGAAGAAGCCGGCGCGGAGCCTCGCCTCACCTCGCTTCCCCTCACAGCCCCTCGGCCGTCCCCGCCTCGCCGTCCACGGCCGCCGGAGTCACCGGCGGCCGCCCGTCCTCATGATGGCCTCGACTACCTGCACACGCTTCACCGACGAGTACCAGCTCTTCGAGGAGCTCGGAAAGTAAGGACAGAACGGGAAATGAAGGCACGGGGGGCTGTGGGGGTCGGTGCCGGAGCCCTGAGGGGAGCCGCGCCCGGGGCCCCCTCAGCGCTGCCGAGGGCCCCGCGGGAGCGCCCGGGCTCCAGCCATAGGGCCCCGGGGTGGCGAGGGGCTCTGGGCGGGTGGCAGGGAACTGCCCTCAATTCCCCTTGCCGCTATTTATTATTATTTATTATTTATTGTTATTTTTAGCTCTTAGGTTGTCGCGGAGTGGGGGTCCCGGTCCGTGAGGGGCGTAGGAGCGCGGCGGGCGCCCCCCAGCGGCGGGGCGGGAGGCGCAGCCCCGAGCGCCATGTTGGGAGTCGCCCCCCCGGTGTCACCGCTGAGGGGGACACGGCCACCGCCACTCTGTGTCTCCCCGCGGTGTGCCGGCAGGGACACGGTGAAAGCCTGCCCGCCCTCCACCGCAGCTAGCGGGGCTGGTCACACGGCTTCTACCCCGCAGAGTTCACTGTTCAGCTGAATAAAATCAATGCTGATGGTCCCCGTCAGAAAATCTTTTTTTTTTTTTTTTTTTTTTAAATTCTGTCGACATCACACCCCTCCGTGCTGCCTGTTAGCTGGTAATGGCAGTGGAGTGTTTCAGTTGGACTGACACTTTGCCCGGTTTTGGTTTCCAGAGGGGCGTTCTCCGTCGTGAGGAGGTGTATGAAAATCACCACAGGACAAGAGTACGCTGCCAAAATTATCAACACCAAAAAGCTTTCAGCTAGGGGTGGGTATATTTTAATCTGATGTTTATGGTGCCTCCTCCTTGTTTCTTGTGTTCATGTGCTAAGCATTAGGAAATGATAAAAATAGCTGACTGTTTTAACAGATTTTTTAATACTATTTTAATTATTATTTCCTTGGTTTGAATTTTTTTCCCTTGGTGCTTCTTTTTTTCTGTTAAATGTTTCATGAATTGACTGCATGGAAGTCAGAGGTTGCTGTGAAGTATTTCAGGAAAAGATGTTCAAAAACTAAAATTTAACATAATGCAGTCTCTTCATTTTGAATATAATAATTTAAATTAGAAGCATTTTGCAAGCTCGTTTTTTTTTGTTTTTTTTTTTTTTGGTAGGATGGTCAATAAGTTTCCATTGCAGATTTTATTTTAAACATTATAGTTTCACTAAATTATGTGCTCCTATTGCATTTAAACATGCATATTAGGGCCTATCTGACTATAAGTGAAAGAGGAAAAATGTACTTTTACCTCAGATTAAACTTTTTTGTGAGAAGAAAATTATGATACGGAAGAAAACCATGGTTTTTGAGCTGACCACTCTGGAGAAAGTCACTGATGAAGTGGTGAGGAGTTTTACTGTTACAAGGCTGCTGCACAGCTTGTTTCTGCCTTGCCTCTGATGTGTGTGTTTCCAGCAGCTTGTCAGCAGCAGCAGACGGGTTGTTATGATACATTGTAGGTAAATATACACATGGTGTGGGCTGTTGTTGTGGAAAGGGAGTCTTAGCGGTGCCGTGTCAATTGCTCGTTAATTCCCAGCTGGAGTGCCTGTGTCCCAGTGTCAGGGATTAGGGATCACTCACCCTCAACGTTATCTGTGTTTCTATGCGAGTTTCTAAAGAACACGGGAGTGGATCAGCCAACAGTGTCAGAGCATAAACGTGTTTGTGGCTGGTCTGCTTCTGGCCCAAAGGAGTCACTGCAGGTAAATGGCAGCTTGAAGGCATTCAATTTCAACATCAAACGTTGCCTAGAACAACATGGCAAGTTCTGATAACGTGCTGCTGTCTAATAAAGATCTTTCAATAATTGTTCCTTGTGTTTGGTGAAAGTTGTGTGAAAATCTATGTTTTGCTGTATATTGAAGTCTTCTCACTCTTACTGCGAGATTATTTGTCCTTTATTTTTGAAATGTTACTTAAATTTTTTTTTGTACAGTTACAGGCTTGAAGGTAGGTTAAGAAATTTATAATACTTGAGATAAATATTTTCACGAGTTTGCTTTAAACAAGTTTGTTTTTATTGTTTTGCACATTAATGTGATCTGTTGAATTTTGATGCTTAAAATAAAACACCACACTCGGTGTGATTTCCTAGATCTGAGTAATTTTCAGTTGAGAAGCCCTAACAAGGTCATCATCAGGTTACTGCTAACAGGTGCTGAACCATGTGCCAGTAGCCAGGCTACCAAGTGCCTGATGGGGTAAATCCTGGAATGCTAGGCTAAATGAAGAAAAACTGGGTCTTGCTAATTGCTCATCATTTGAATTGCACTGGATTTCAAGCTGTAATTTTTGTATTTTGTTCATGCCAAGACCAAGTTGGTCCTTGATGTGCTCTGTTAATGAGTGGAAGCACATTTGGGAGAATTTGGCTCAAAAAATTGAATAAGGCAAATTTCATACAGATTTTTCTGAGTTCAACCCGTAAAGGAAGGGGTTGCACCTTGAAAGCTGAGCTGTGGAATATCCTTTGGAATCAGAACATACATGATGCCTGTCCATGAATACAGAGAGTGCCTTCCTAGCTCTCTTTTCAGACATCCCAAAAATAATTGCAGTTTTTCACTTGCTGTGTTGTTTTTTGTGGAGGTTGTTATGGGTTTTAGCACTTGGAAATCTACTAAGCAGTTTCTGAAGAGAAAGCTTCTTGGAGAAATCTTCAGATTCTTCTGAGGCAGTTTTTTAATTGTGGAAAGGTGCACTTGAATGGCACTTGTGGTGCAAAAAAACTAAATGTGAAAAAGCCTCAAACTGTGATGCTTTCCCCTGGCTTATATTGGGGATGGAGTTTATAATTAAAGTGCTGCTTTTAGTTCTGAGTTTTGTTCTACTCCATCTGAGCTGCTATATGAGGCGGTTGCGGTTCACTTCTGTGTGTCAGACCTACTGAAATACCCATTCCAGGCTAAATCATTGGGTCAGCTTTATCTGTGAGCAGAGTTAAGAGGAAATGTGTCCTCTTGGCTTGGAAATGTGTTCCTTGTCTAGTGCCTGCTTCCCCTGAAATCTTTTAAATAAAATGTCAAATTTGGGCCTTTTTGTTTCCCACACTGGATGAGAGCAGTTTCAGTGTATGAATGGAAGAGTCACGACTTGCAAGATTAAATGAAGCTTCCTTAAAGTAGTTTTGAAATTAGAAATTATTTAAGTGGCTTCAGCCCAGTCAGAGCAATAGTTCTCTTTTCTTCCCCTCTTCATTTCAGCCACAGATGTTATCAGAGATTTATCCAAATTCTTACTTTAGTAGTCTTTCTAAATCTGATCAGCTAATGCCAGTGAAAGTGTGTTCCCATCAGTTTGCTTGTATAGTTACACGGAAATTTCAGGCAAATTGCCTCCGTGCAGAGGCATGGGCTTTGGCTGGAATTTGGAGGGGAGAAGGAAGCTGTGCCCCCTGTTCTAGCAGAAGGAGCCTTGGTGCTCTCAAATTGATGGTCAGTTCCTTACAGAATTCCAATTCCATTATTTTCTAATTTTAGTAGTAGGAGTAATAAATATTTGCTGTTTGAATCTATTTCAGTATAGCAAAAATACTTTTCCCTGTTATAGTGATATATATTCTGTTTTTCAAGTATACTTAAGGTGCTCTTCAGAGTTTTGATCTTGGTGTTTCCTAAGTCACCTGGAGCATTGAACTGATACTAGAATATCCACAGCGAGTTTTGTATCAATAGAGTTTGTTCTTGCACAAGGTGATTATGTTGCTGATTGTAGAAAAGGAAGGGCATAAAAAGGTGTGTTACCTTTCTAAAATCAAGTGTAGCAATGAATAAGCACTCAGAAAACACGAATAAAGTGAAGAATGTGTGTTTGCAGGTTCTGGATTCTGTATGGTTTCATCTTGTAAAGTCTTTAGGATTTCATTACTGTTCAGTAAGGGCTTGGGTTGTTCTGTGCTATTTTTCATGTGTAGAAACTCATGCAGATAAAAGTGAACTTCTGTGAAGTGACTTTTTCCCTGTCTCTTCCAAGTACCAAATATTGAGCAGATTGTCTGTTTCTTTTTGCCATTATCTCTACATCTTTTTATTTCTCTTTTGAGTCTTCTAGCTTTGATCCAAACTGATTTCACCTAAACAGTCCCATTTTCTTGAAAGGTTTAGCCCTCATCTTCTGTCTTCCAAAACAAAAAAAAATTAGGTAAGAGTTTGCTTTTCTGATGGTACTTGAAAGGGTGAATCCCTGCTAGATTTTCACTGGGTGTCCCTATTGGCAGTAACTCCTACTGACACTTTGTGGTGGCCAGAAGTGCCGTGCCTTCAGTGCAATGTGATGGTGTCCGTGGGAGGAGGAGGATGTCCCAGTCCCTTTCCTTTTCTGGGAAGCTTGTGCCAAAAGCTGGGCACACCTCTGCCAGCCCTTGGGCTGCTGCAGCAGAGCTGTGAGCGCTTTGTTTATGAGCATATGTGCTACAAGGAGTAACGTGAGAGTCAGCTGGAGGCTATTGCTGCTCCCTGAAAAGCTCTCGAGAGCTTTCAGCGAGCAGCCATTCCATTAGCTTCAAGCTTTGGAGGTGTCACTGGCTATTTGTCTTCCTTCTTTGCAGGAAATTCCCCCGATCTTTTTCCGTGTTTCTGCTGTTCCTTTTTCCGATGAGCTGGTGCCTGCAGGTGCATGGCACAGCCAGAGGGACTGGAGCCATGGTGCTCACCTGCAGCCAGCTCCGATGGGTGCGGAGGCTGCAAACCCCACCCTGTGGGAACAGCATTTTGTGCACTATTGAGTAATTGGGCTGTGGGAAGAGTGTTTCAGCATCTAAAGCTCTCCAAGTAGGGCACCTCATGATCCCTAAAGTAATGTAAAATACATTAGGGACATGAATGAAATGGGAAGCATATATAGCATATGTATTTTTCAGTACAGCTTTTAGTGGCACAGAGATAGATGTTTCTAATGTGTCACTAGACTAAGATTTGCTTTAGCCAGGTAGCTTGTGTCACTCCATGCCAGATGTTGTACAGGAAGGCAAGCTCTAATAAGGCTTCCAGTGCTCCATAAGAGGAGAAAATAATTCTTTCTAATCTAGCTCAAGATGTTAATCTCTGAAGCACACAGTTACCTGTGCCAGTTTATTACAACACATGTATTTTCAAAGCTAAATTCTGTTCTTACGCACACGTGACAGTTACTCCCATACAGACAGGACTATCCTTCAAGGCATTTAGTTGTCAGTGAGGCAGATTGTGTCTTTGTGAGGAAAAGATTTAAGCATGGGATTTTAGTGGTTTTCTTCGTGTCTTGCTGTAGTCTTGTTTCTCTGGTTAATTGCTTGTCATTAACAGTGTTTTAAAACTGTTTTTCTCTGGTTTGTAAGAAGGCTCACCTGGTAACATGCAGTCACCCTTTTTTACATTTGTGCTCAATGTTTGTGTTCAGCTCAGTCATGGCATTCTTTTCAGTTTGACATCGTTGTAACACAACACACTCATTTCAATGTTTATCTGCAAGTATTTGTTTAATTGCAAATTACGGTAATTTAGCAGGCTACTGGTTCAGTTGAAATTGACTCCATTCAAAAAGCTCAGGCTAGTAGGGAGAGAAGAGCATTATAAAAAAAAAACCAGCTCAAAAGGGATTTTTGGTTATGTGCTCTGTTTTGTGATTGTTTAGAGCTTTTAATTCTGTTTTGGTTTTAGCATTTATTCTGTTCTGGTGTTAGTGAAAACCACAAGAGCTTTCAAATACCAGTGAGGATGAGGACTTTGAAACTCTGTGATGAGTGTTGGTTGGTAGTAGTTTATTCTAACAGTTAAACTAGATTTGAAATGAAATGTCTTGTCAGTTCATAGTTAAATTATTCATAACAGATGCTGATTTCAATAATGTCATTCTGGAGTTTTTGCAAAAGAGTTATTTACTCTCTCCATTGTGACTGGAATTTCTCTTAGAATGGCACAGAGTAAAAAGGTGTTTGCATCATCTGTCAGCTCAGTTTCAGCAAGCTCATTAGGGGAAGGGACGGAAATGCATCTGAAAGGGGATTATTGGGGACGTATTTTCTCCTAGTCTCCACACATTTTCTGTCAGAAGTTACACATTTTGGCACTGATTCCTGCTCTTGTTCTCTTCCTGCAAAGTGAGGACTTAGCTGCACATTTGAACAGCTCTGCTTGGGGAACTGGTTCTGTTGGAAGGGAAGGGAGAACTTAAGATGCAGGGGAGATGCAAATGGAATACCTCTCCTGAGCTTGCACATCCTGATACTGAAATAGGGATGTGTTCTGTTCCTCCTGGTCTCAGAAAGAGAATGTTTGGCTGTGTTCAAATGGTACTTCTGAATGAAAGGTTTGGGTCAAATACAAAAATAAGGAATTAACACTATGGTCAATGCTTTGCATTTATTGTCAATTGGTTCTGTTTGTTTGCACATAACACCATACATAGAAAACATTGGTTTATGGGAAGCCACAGCCCTGCTCAGGTGTTTGTGACTTGCATCTGACCTCACTGACAGCCAGGTAGAAGTACACTTGTTTCCTGGAAGAACTGAGATTAGGCACAGACCAGCCCTCTAGAAATCCAGTTTCAAAACGTATCTAAACAGTGGAAGTGAAATGTGAAAATCCTGTCACATGTAGGCATGTATTGATCCAAATGCTGAACATTTATGCACCTTCTCAGATCGTGATTAGGGGTATGGGAAGTCATCTCTGCTGTGTTTATTCACACTTATGTGATTGCACAGTCTGGTTTGGGGTCTGATATTAATATTTTATTTTTTTTTTTTCTTGTGTAATTGAGGAATGTCTTATCTAAGAGACTGGAATAAAAGTCAGTGAAATATTTTGCTTTGTGAATGTATGTACTGCCGAAATAGTGCTTTTCATGTGTCTGTCCTTCATTTGACCTCCTAGGAAATATAGGCCAGGGTGTTTGATATGTCCAGTTTCCTCCTTCATACACATATATTGCACATTTGTCAAATGCTTTGTGAGGATATTGTGGGGTTTTGGGAGATCACATGAGAAATATAACTTCGTCTGTGCTTTGAGAAAGGTTACTAGAGAACAAAACCCTAACTTAACAGTGGCGGTTCCTCTGTTTAATTCCTTATTAAAAATAATTGTGCTTTGAATTTGAAGAAACATCTGCTCTGTTGTGGAGAGGCACAGGAGTCCAATCTGTCTGTTTATTCCTTGGATGTATTGAGCTTGTATACATCTTGGAGTGCATATTTGTGCAAACTCCTCATCTGTTTAATCCTTGTATTATAAGAAACGCCTTGTGCATGGTATCAGGGAGGGTGGAGAATTTGTGTGACATGGGGTTGGTATTTTCTTCCAGGGAGACAGTTTGTGCTGTTACCCAGTGTCATTTTCTAGATTGCTCTTAGCTTGTTTTGAAATTCATTTGAGTTGTTTGAATCGGAGAATTCACTTTTAAGCTCTGCAGTCCTGTGGCGTCTGATCAAAAGCTGCTGGATATATTCTGCTGTACTGAGGGATTACTTAATTCCTCTTGATTCTGTTCTTCTGGATGCCACTAGGCAGAAGAAGTAGCTGTCAGAAAAGCCAGGGAGGGGCAACTTTTGCAAATTTGCACAGGTGTCTTATCCCTGATGGAGCTTCTTTTCTGATCTAGGGCCTCTTTAGTAGGAAGTGTAAATGGTGCTACAGCATATATTTGTTTTTTCTAATTAGGTTTTTCAGCCTAGAAAATGATAGGTAATGTGCTGAGCAAACTATTACAGAGATATTTGTGCAGTTATTGGTTTAAATGGATTGTATTTGGCGGAAAGGACCTTTGCCTACCTGGTGGATTGGGGGAGCTTGTTACATGAATTCCTGACCTTTTGTCAATACTTTCTAAGTATTTCACAGGAAAATTTGAGAGTAAAACATGCAGGTTTAATTAAAAATTAAAAAAACAACCCCAACCTCTCAAAAGTAACAAAGTAGATTTTCATAATTAGAAATGTGATATTGTGGATATTTGCTGGTTGAGATGAAGCATTTTATCTTGTGATGAGAGGCTTTTAAAAAATTTTTACCAGTAACCAAGAATTTATACATGTAGCAGTGATAAAGTTGAAATCCTGGTGATGCTTTCCAAGAGAGCTGTCTGGCATCCATAAAACCAGAATTAATTTAGGTTTGGCAGTCACTTTCAGCTTGAATATAGAGTGTGCTTGTATATGTTCGCAACTGGTTGTGGGGTTTCTTTTGCTCAGCTATAGCCAAATCAGTCATTTTGGGCTGCTGTTTAGACAGACTCTCCCACTGTCCCACATGTGCTCTGTAGAGAGCTGCTTCTCTTTACTGTGCAGCAGTTTTGACTCTGCTGTTGGCACTGCTCGGGAAAGCAGGCTAGTGGTCACCTTCCACTGGATGGAGAACTTGACCTAAACCCATCTTCAGCCAGAGGTTGTGATGTGCAGAATTAAAAACTTCAGAATCTATATTATAATAATTTTTTTTTTAAATATATGATCCAAGTGTTTGCTGGCTTGAGTGAGCAGCTGCATGAATTTGGACAGATGTGTATTGAGCAATGTGTAGAGCTAGGGCAGTTGGCTCTGGGTTGTGTGTGTGGTGTGCAGGCAGGTTTAGCCCTGCTGAGGAACCCGTGAGCCCCCTGGCCTCCAGCTGGCAGTGCCCTCACCTGGGAAACCCTAATTAATTTGGCCGGCATTGCTGGCACTCACTGGGTCACGTGGCACAGAGCAGGCTCCGGGCCCTGCGCTCCAGGGAGCAGTGCACCCTGCCCAGCTGGCAGCACTGACAAGCCTTCATGCAAGTGCCAAGGGTAGCACACCTCTGCTGTAAAGTTTCATCATCTCAGCACGTGAGGTGAAGAGAAAAGCAAACTTGAAACTTTGAAGCTCATATTTGCAGGCAGCAATTTACTGCCTGTGTTTTCTGAACTTTGTTCCTGATTTAATTGTAGTTGGGAACTGCTTGCTTGTAAATTTTCCACAATGTGAATGCAAGTGTTGCAGCAAGTCACGTTGCATATTCAGTAGCTGCACAAACAGATGGGGTTCCTACATAAAATCCATATTTGACAATCTGATGGGATTTGCCAAGGCTTAGCCTTCATTTAAATTATAACCTCTTGGAGAGATAGGTTTCTGATTTAATGAGTCAAGAGAGGCCTTCAGGTTATTTGTATTGCATAGCAGTTTCCGAGCCAGTGCTTAAGTGTGGTTTTGGTTTGGGAGACTTCTTGTAGGAATGGTTTTAATGGGCTATTGCTCATTAGAACAAGTACTTGCCAAATTCAGAGATTTCTCTTGAAATCTTATTCGTTTGTCTGTTGTTCATGTCTTGCAGAAAGTGAAGATGTATATGTTGTTATAGCATGGTATAACATGGACAGACTGCTGCTGCTGCAGTGCTGTCTTGCAGGGAGGCTTTTTTTCTGTAGGGCAGGTGACCTTTGGTTTCCTTCACGGCAGCTCCAGGTGCTGCTGAACTTGGGTTATTAAAACACACTTAAAGTCCTGCTTTATACCTTTTTTTTTCTTTTTTTTTTTAAATAAGAAGATGTCACTGATGTTAAGTGTCTCCAAGATGCAAGTAAGAATCAGTGCAGAAACCTTCAAAAACTACATTTTCCCATTGTTTATTAAATGCTATAGTTAGAAAAATGAAAAGCTCTTCATGTTTTTAAAAGATACTGAGTCTCCTGCTTCTAAAATAAAACCTCCTTAGCTGTAAGGTAGCTTCCTACTCCTTGCATTGCTGGTCGTGGTATAAAACCCCTCCTTTTTCAGGAATTTTTATTATCACTGCTCCAAATGGGGGAGGGAGGGGAAAAAAACAGGTTTTCTGTCATATTTTTCTATCTTTTCATGTTGGTTTGATGGCATTCATCATTGGTACTCGGTAAACTTTCACAGGTTGAAAACCTTTCTAGTTGCTCCCTCTTTCAGTCAGAGCCTCTTGGTACTCTGGTAATGTGGGGGCAGTGTGAGATTGATAGCGAAGTGCTGGATGGTGCTGGTGGTGGATGGAAGAGCTTCCAAAGCCTGGTAACATTTCTTTTTATACCTGTAGCACTCCATGGTCTTTCATGGCTGTTGCATTTTGGGGAGAAAGAAGAGGAAAAAGAGGCCACAGGTGCAGTGCTCTGTGTGTGCACGCGTGAGATGCAGAAAAAGATCTGGCAGAGCCTGTGTGTACCCAGGCAGTTTGTTTGCTGTAGGAAAGTGATTCATGCTGAACGATCTGTTAACTTAGAGTCCCTTTACTTGTAATGAGGGCAGGAATTAGTGTCTTTAAATTTTTATTTATTTGTGTTAAATATGATTTATCTCTCTAAATGAAGTAATAAATTGCTTTCATTGCCATGTTAATCAGAACATGTAGTGAGATTAATTTTCCCAGAGCAGAAGTTGCTTATGTGTGGTCTGTCCCCTCTGCTTGGAGCTGTATTTGGTATTAAGATGTTTTGGGGACCGGATCAGTGACTCAGCTCAGCCTTGCAGGCTCACAGTGGGAAGCTCAATACCTTGGAGATGATTTGAGGAAACCCAAAAGAAGAGGACAAGTACTCATAAATTACATGCTTTTCCAGTCTTTAATAGGTGCAGATTTTATTAAGTTTCAAAGTAACGAATTTAATTGAATTTAATGTTCTGTCTGCATTTTTCAAAATAGTTATATTTTGGTCATAGTGTGGTTTTGTAGCCGTGTAAATCTCACAGCTGTTACATTGCAACATTCGGACTCCTAAAAGTGCAAGATATTTGGGAAAAAATGGGGGGTTTTATACTTTAAATAGGGTTCATTCACCTCTGTCATCTTTATATAGTGTTGATTCCTCTGTTGCAAACTGTCTTCTTGCTTACATTGTTTTGAGGGATAAGGATTGGTCCTCTACCAGTTCTCAAAGCAAAGTCCAGTTCAGAGTCATGTTTTGGTTGTCAGTGGTCTGCTCTTTGTTACATGAAGCAGGAAAACCAGGTCTAGTAAAACAGAACCTTTGCACTTCCAAATCACGTTCACCTGCTGTCGGACTTCTGCAGGATAAGACAATATCTGAGCATTTATCACCTGGAGCTGGCCTTCAGTGAAAATCAGGAAATGAAATTTGAGTGTATTCAAGGCAAAGTTGAGTCCTTCAACAGAATAAATAATCTGATTCAGTAATCAAGCTCTGTCTTAAAATTAACTGGAGAGGTGAGTGGGTTGGTTATTTTTGCTTTATTGAAGACAGAATTTAGTACTGCCCTCTTGTCCTTCAGAGACTTTTCTGATCTACAGCCCAAATTTACTCAGGGACAACATTTGTTGTCTGTGCCTGAACTGTCCTTCAGACAAGGCTTCATCTTTCATCAGTGTATTTACCAAGTACCATCTTATTCTCATTATTTTACGTACCAGCCACCTTTCTTTAGCTTCCTTCTGTATGACAGACTTGCCATTATTGTGGCCATTCTTCTTCTGCATCCTACAAGCTAATTTACATGTTTATATGTGGATGTTTGGAGTGGAGAATTGGAATTGACCAGAAAAAAACCACCAGAGGAAGTCGTCTGAGTATCTTTGGTATCGCTGGTGTCTTGATGGGAGGGTCCTGTCTGGTGAATTCCAGTGTTTATTTACAGATTGATTTGTCTAATCCTGAGACTGATACGGAAGGAACTCATTTAGTCATTTCAGTTAGCTTTGCCATTCATCACTAGGTTTCCTGTCACCTCTTTTACCAATTGTCTTCCAATTTCAAAACTAGTTTGGTAGTCTCCTTTTTTACTCATCCCCAGATGCCTTATTTTCTTTGTTTCTGCATCCTAAACATTGGAGCCTTGCAGGAGGCTTTGATCCCTGTCTGGAAAAGTTCCCTGGAGTGCTGTTTTAGAGGACTCACTGTACCCTAGCAGTAACTGATATGCAAAGATGTAGGTAGCTGCAGGGTTTTTTGTGGGGTTTCTCAGATCATGCATATTGAGACCTAAGTTCAAACCCATTTCTTTCCATCACAGCAATGTTGTGCAGTGCTTGACACAGTAGCTTTCTATAGCCTGCTGTTACTGTCGCCTCTGTGCAAGGTCGAGTGGAAGCTGCTGTGAAAATAGCTCCATGAAACAAAGCTAAATTAGGAGTAGTTGCTGTTGAGTGTTGACTTTTCTCTGCAACCACAGATGCTCATCTAGTCAACAAAATGGCTAAAGAAACATACAATTGTGTAAGTGCACTAGGGGCTGCACAGTTCATTGTTTCAAGTTCTATTGATTCACGCACTAAATAAACTGAAACACTTTCAAAATGCTACTAATTGTTGTTGACTGGTTCAGTCAATAAGATGCAGTGTGGAAAAATGCCTGACCAGCTCAATAGGGATTTTGAGGGTTTTCCCCACTGCTTTGCAAAGCTGTTTCTTTTTCTTCTTGTTTTTTGTTTGTTTTCAATCTTAGAGATCCTTTACCTTCATGTTTCTCAGACTGCAGCTTAT